TCTGTGAGGGAGATTTTTATTAACAATGCGCGCCATCATTTCTGTAACTTGAACTCTTGTCATAGACATGAGTGAAAGCAAATACAATGAGATGCAATTAATGGTAAAAAAAATCACCATTCTCTCAATGTGAGAAATGAAAATAAAATTTACAAACGCAGCAGAAAACGTGTGCCTAATGCAATAAACATACATTTCTTTTCGATGTGGTCAGGTATTTATTGAAAATGCTTTAAATCGGAAGGAACCGAATAAATCAATCAATGACAAAATCTATTCAGAGAATATTTTACTCATACAAAGGAAGATGTTTACGATTGTCGATTACAATTGCGTAACAATATGCTTCTAATGATGTACAGATATTTTGTAAACGAATCATACTAGTTTTTGCCTACAAGATATATTTTGACTATCAAATATTTTGAAAAAAGAAAAGTTTGATGCAAGAAGTTGTTTTTTTATTGTTCGATTTTTGATGAAAATATTTTCTATCTTCTGTATGCACCATAATTCATCATAAATAGCTCAAGGAAGCAGAAGAACCGAAGAAAAATTCAAGAAATACAACTGGCACGTGTAAATATGAATACAAGGTAAAACATCATTTTTCATTTCTATGCATTTACAGTTACGATGAAATTTAATGATGACATCAAGGATGAAATGAGTAATTTGCTATTATCCGCTGTTCGTCAAGAAGATGTCAACAACATCTTTCAGCAGGAAATCAAATTTTGTACCGAATACACTTATCCAAAAGTACAAAACTAGCTTTGGCAAAAACTTTGGTTAACGAACGTTATAGCTTTATATTAATAAAGTTTGAATCTGATTGCTTAAGAACTTTCGCATGGTGAAGTAGTTTTGTGTTCGTTTAATTCAAGGAACGAAGAAAAGCGTGTGATATATTCCAGATTTGATTTCCATTCTATATTCATTTTGCTCTTGGTTAGTTTAAACTGCTAATTGATTGATTCAAGCAATAGTATCTTGGTATTTAATATGATATCAATTCTATCATCCTTGCCTGATATTATCAATCAAAAATGCGTGATGATGTTTCTTCACGTGGTCGTTCACCTTGAGTGATTACCATCGTATTGAATGGCATGTATGCAACACACGAACGATTTATGAATATAAGTTAAAAAAGTCAGTGAAGCTTGTACATATAAGAAGAGAGAAGAACAGAATGAAGTATGTGTAGCTATTGCTCTGATCACATGTTATAACTAATGAAGCGAAGTTTTTCGTTATTGCTTATTCAATTAGTATGTCAAAAGCATAGGTTCGTTTATTTGGCTTAATACAAGTTATTCTAGACTTATCAATGCACTAGTTCCTTCGTTTTTCTAAAGCCATGAAAGCTATTCTATTGATTACATTATTCCAAATTCTTCTTTTTCTACGGAAGTGATTTTGCAGTTATTATCTGTGATTAATGAAGAAAATGTTTCAGAAGAGCTTAGTATACCGATATGAGTATCACTTTCTCGTTCATATGTTTGTGTATCCTCTTCTTTTGATTTTCCTTCCTTTCGAAGATGACGTTTGTATCGATAGACCTACAAATACATCCGTCTTAATATCATTCTTATATTCTTATACAGTATGATATCCATTTTCACTCTCGACAGTATATCTCTATATATTATGATGTCCTTTTTGGGGTCATCCTTTATTATCGATGACGAATGTCCTCGCTACTCTTTCTTCTTTGTTTTTCACGGTACATCGCTTTTGGACACATTCTTTTCTATTCATCGCTCACATAGTATTCTTGCCTCTTCGCTTTATTCTTGTCGTTCGAGAACGAATATTGTCTTTGATGATATTCTTTTTTTTCTTTTTCTTTCTCATATATATGTGCATGCTTTTGTTTCTTTTCTTGAAATATATACATAGAAGAGTACAGTTTCTCTTCCATTTGCAGACAGGGATTTATCATTTCCCAGAGAGAGCCCATATTCTTGTATCGCGATATAGGATAATATCGTTTGTAGTGTTATCTATGTGCCTTCGTACGCAACATGATATTCTTTTCGTATCTGTCTTTATATAGTTTACTTCTTGTATATGTTCCATAATCTTTTTTCTTTTATGAAGAGAGTATATTTAGTCGGAAGAAATGCAGTGAATAAATATCTATGAATGAGAATAAATGCAATACAAAGTAGTTGTTAGAGGGTATAGGCATAAAATAGTTGTAGAAGAAGAGAGAGACTATTCTATACATTACAGTATGTTTCTTTGATTATATTGTGTAAAGAGCTACTAGTGTTGAAATAAAGATCTATTTAACCAGTAACGTAAAGTTTTTATACTGCTCTATCAATCTTTCATTTCTTATTATTTCAATATTCTGATCACTTTACATCAGATTATATGTATTCATATACAATATCAGTACGATACATGAATTTTTATGTTACACTTAGGCGATAGTAAATTCAAGTGAATTTATTCGGAATAATGTGAAAACATAGGCCTAAATATCTATTTCGAATGAAGTCGTTTTGAACTCACTGTCATCAAAATTCTTTTTTTAAGAAATTCGTTCACTAATCAAAGATGAGAATGATGATGACTATAAAATGAATCTAGCAAAAGAAGGATTGAGAATAATGTCGTAACAGAGATGTTTTGATTTTAGTATAAGCTTGAAAGTCTGTAATCAATTGATCATTTCTCTTAGTTTTTGAAATTTTCGTCCATCGTATAACATCTTTCAATAATATTTATAGCCGTTTTGCAAGATTTCTGGCGATGATCAAAAGAAAATAAGTTCCATAGCCTTTCTTTTTTACTAAAAGTCGCTAAAATGTTACGTCTCGACGAAGACAATGAATATTCCGTATTCAAGTATTCGAGAATTTTTCGCTATTGTTCAAAAAAGTGTTTGTTTAAAAAGTCAACATTTTAGAAAGATTTAATATTTTTTACATTGATTTTTTTTTAAATTGATAAAACTAAAAATTTTCAATGAAAAAAGAATGTTCACAAGGAGATGTAGGATGAGTTCTCAGTTCTTGTTTCAAATCTTTAGAAGACTGACTGGATGACGTTTTTTGTTCGTTTAGTTACAGGAAAAGTTTTTTCCTGGCAGAAGTAAAGCTTCTCCCACATACTCTGTTCTCTTGTTGCAGCAATAAAGAGAAGAATAAAGTACAAAAAAAAAGTCATTTTCTTTTCTCTCGTCATAAATATAATTTTCAAGAACTTTGCTGATTTGACTTTTTCTTTAGTCAGAACGATTCATGACCGAAAGCAAAGTGAGTGTTATCTGCACAGTACAGAAAGGACGCTGCTTGATTACAAATCATGATGTCTCACAAGGCGACATTCTACTGGTATCAAAACCATATGCTCTCATTCCATCCATGGCGAAAAAGAATTACGTATGTGCAAACTGTATGTATATTTCAAAAGAGCGAACCCGTACGAAGGAGATGGTCGCATGCCGTCAAGGTTGTCTTCATGTATTTTACTGTTCGGATAAATGTGAACGACAGCATTGGGACAAATTTCATCAGTACGAATGTTCATTTCTCGATGAAGTATGCGCCTTACAAGATTATAATTACAATGAATATGTTATTAATTATGCTCGACTTGTTATGCGCATGCTTACTCAGCGATTACACGATCTCTTAGACAAGCCACAGAATGTTTTACTTGAAGATATTTTTATGATGTTATCACATTTCGATGAATTTTCAAGGAAAGAGAAAAATGAATTTGGAACTGTAGCCAAAACGCTAACGAAATATATATTAACGCGACTCATACCTCATTTAACCAAAGATAAACATGAATTTATTAGTTTCATTCAATCCTTCCTGCCAGATAGTGCAGATGCTAAAAAAGTCGAAATTATCGATTCTGATCGATGGCTAGCCCAAATGACTAGTTTATGTTCACTCTCCGATGATGCCACCATTATTGAAACATTAAAATATCTAATGCATAAAGTGTACATCCTTATTTGTGTGGAAGAAGTCAACGGATTCTTTCATCATACTTTTACGTTCGATGGCTACTCTCAAGCACCTCAAATGTATGCCCTGGGAGTGTATCCATTTGTTGCTTTCTTTAATCACTCCTGCTCATCAAACATCGATCGTTTTCTGGTTGAAGAAGATGGAACGAAATTTCAGATGGGCGATCTTGTGTTCTTTGCAGCACGTTCTCTAAAGAAGGATGAAGAACTACGTATAAGCTATGGAGGACGAAAATGTGACCTTTATATGCAAGACCAAGTTAATGTTGACGATATTGTCAAAAATCAAACAATAAGAAAACAACAACTGAAAGACGAGTATTTCTTTGATTGCGAATGTGCACGTTGTGTCAGCGAGTCAAAGGGAGAACTTGATCAGTCTTTTATGGCTTTAGTAAAAGAACTCAAATGCACAAAGCCGAATTGCAAAGGTTGGTTCATTCCATCCCTTGAAAAACATACTATGCATTGTGAAGCATGTGGGATGTCACGATAGAACTTTTTTTTTAAATCTATGAAATAAAACTTTAAATACGTAACTAATATAACGTTTGATCAAACGATCTTACTCACGTGATGACGACAACAATAACAAAATATCTGATCTGAGAATGTGGGTGAGGGTGAGTATAGGAGAAACACTCACACCTACATCCATCTTACGCATCGTTTGCGATGTCAGTATTGGTGTATTTATTGACTGGGAAAATCTCGTCAGTGTTATATTTAAATGTTCAACTCGAAAATGTTTAGGACCTGAGATAATTCGGATCTTTGGCGCAGCTGGCTAAACGATGAACATGCTCACTGCCGCGGATAAGCCGTTCACGGGCTCGCGAGTTGGGATGAATTCGTGATCAATGTAGGGATGTGGGTGTGAGTGGGTGAGGCTGTAGGGAGGAAAAAACCCACATCCGTATGAAGCAATATACCTATAGAAAATCAAGTTAACCTAAGCAATGGATTAATATTGATTCATTTTCAAAAATCAGTATTCATGAGTTCATATTTGTTAGTTCTTATTGTTGCGGATTTTGAATACTTAACTCGTAATAATACAGGTTTTCGTGGAAATATCACAACAAATGTATGTGCACAACTAGATAAAAAAAATGATTTATATTATGCACTTGAAATAGCAACACAAAATGTTCATAATTTTGAGAAACAATATCAAATCAATTATCCATTGACAAAATGTGACTATATTGTTCTGCTAAAATTCTTTAATGGTAGATAAATTCTATCAAACCGTATTTTCATAGTCGATAACGGTTTTCGATTTAGGTACGATGGAAAATTTTAGTTGTATTATGTATATTGCATCACGATTACTCTATAATAATATTACATCAGCAATGCTCAACAAACAAGATGTAGTACTTTTCATAGCTCACGAGGTATAAATGATAAGAGGTTTTTCTTTATTTAACAAAAGACAAGCAGTTTGACTGAAAATATGCATCAGATCTAGATAGTCTCAATATTCCTCCAAATATTTATTTTAATTTTATATGTCATATAATTAGGCAAAAAAAAAGAAACTTGATTATGCCTTTTGCAAAATAATTTTTGATTTTTGATAAAAACTAGTTTTTTAAAGGATTAGATATGAGTACAGAGTGCACTAATATTGAGGTTACCAACACTTGATGCTGTTGGCGTGGAAGTTTTATTAGAAAAACATTGTCTAAATATGTCTGTTCTCAGATAATTCAATGAACTATATTCAATAATAACAAAAAACTAAAAAAGAAGAAATATTTTCGTTTTTTCTTAGCTATCACATCGATGGTTCGGTAAAAATAAAGTGCATTCTGATTGGGATTCTTATGAACAACATATTGCACAAGAATAGTTTCCCATTATGCAAGATGATGTCATTTCATTTTCGCTTTCAATTACGAGACAAATAACACATGATGAAAAACTAAGCAATATTTACAATTCACTCACTTATTTGAAAGGTTCTTCATTAGTTCGTATGATGTAGAATTTTATTACTAAAGATACATTTAATCAAGGTATTTCAAAGTATCTCAAAAATCATCTTTATTCAATAGTAGAAAAAACCGATCGTTGGCAAAATTTAAATGAACAAATGATTACAGATAATATTTTGTTACCAAGAAATACTAGTCTTAGTGGTATAATGAATGCATGGATTGATCAGATAAGTTATCCTTATGTAAAAGTAATACGTGACTATTCAACAAATATGATTTTAATTAGTCAATATCAGTTTTTATTTGATGTTAAAGCGCAACCAACCAATTCTCCTTATAACTATCAATGGTATGTTCCATTTTAATTCAAATCTTTATGATCATCATCATCATCATCATTAAGTATTACATGACTCAATGAGAGAAACAAATAAACATAACTATGGATACAAGTATACAATCGAATGAATGGATTTTAGCTAATCCAAATCTGTTAGGTTTCTTTCGTACAAATTATGATATACGAAATTGGCAAATGGCTATTGAACAACTTTAAAATAGTCATGAAAATTTCACAATAATCGAAAGAGCAGGTCTTGTTGATGATCTATTCAACTTAGCTAGAATAAGTCTGTACTGTCGTTGGAAAAATAAAACTTTAAACTTCTTATTTTAATTTTAATAGATATTCTACGGTTATCACTTGTTTTCGATATACTTAATTATGCTAAATTAGAACAAGAATATATTGTTTGAGAACGTATTATCGTAGGTATTCAGTATATCGAGCAAATGCTTACAACAAGTTATTCAAATATTAATATTTATAAACAATGGCGTTCCGATTTAATTGATCTTATCCGATCAATTTATACTTATTTTGATTGGAATAGTCGATCAATGAGTGAAAAATGGATCGATACAGTTTATCGAAATGTAATTTTATCGACTGCTTATCAATATAGTTTGAAGAGTTGTACTGATTATGCTCAACAACTCTTTCAAGAATGTTTCAATCATCCATCGAATAATACAATTGAAATAAATTATCGAAAAATTGTCTATTGTACAAATATGCGTTTAGGTAGTCGAACTCTATTTCAATGTCTATTTCATCAATATCAAATAACAAATGATACAGAAGAAATTTCAAGGTTACAATCGGCTCTTATATGTACACAAGACATTCAATTAATTCGATATTTACTTGAAATTCATTTTAATTCTAACTTAAATATTATTCAACAAAACGATATTCTTTCTGGAATAAGACTAATTTGTCGAAATTTAATAGGTATTAATGATTGTTGATCATATGTACATTCAAAATGGAAATATTTATTGAAAAATTTTGGACATTATAACTTTACTTCCTTTATTCAAGAATTAACAGAAAAATTCAATACCAAACAACAATTGAATGAATTTGAATTATTCATCGAACAAACAATGAATCAGGTGAGATTAATACTTTGATTTATTTTCATTTTTTTGTTTCCGAGAAAGAATTGTGTTTTTATAATGATCGAACAATTGAAATTTCGAATTTCGAAAACTTTCAATCTTTATATTCTTCTGATTTGATCTATCTCAACTATATTCAAATATTAGTAGTATTATTTTCTTTTTTTGTAAAAACAAAACATCGATTCTGATACTTTTATCGACGAATTCTTTCTGTATACTAGCATTATTAATTTCAATTTATGAAAGTTTTTTTAATTAATAAATATTTCTATTACGTGGGTGTGGGTGTGTGGGATGTGAAAGAGTGTAGCTGTGGGTCCCCTCTTCATCAACACTAACACCGAAATTCACACAAATGCCCACCCACTCGCACACCCTCACTTTTATTGTTGTAATCCGCATTATACCCGACAACTCACAGATTTGAAAAGAAACGGAAGAGAACGAAAAAAAAATGTATTGAATTCTCACAAACAGCATCAATCATACGATGAATTGTATATCTTTCATGAAAATATCCGTCTGTTTCCGTCGTAATCTGATATCCACGCAACAATTTTATCTCGCTTTGCGTTTCAGTTGTCTTTCAAAAGAATCACTATTTTTTATCTATCTCTCTCGATTTATGTATAAGAATAACGCGTCAGAGAGTTTTTCTTTCGTTCAGTCGTTTATCTAACATTTGATCATTTTGCAAGACGATATTTCATCACTAGTTACTTGTAAATGCTGCATGAAAGGATAATTTGTAGAGAGCAACAATGGCGATCAGTGAAGCCTCTACGTGTACATTTTATCTGAAAGAAAAAGAAACTTGACGTGTATCATCGAGATAATAAATACTATTCTTCATTTCTTTTGTCTTTGGTAGAAATGTTCACTCTATTCGACCAGTTCTCCAATGAATTATTACTAGAAATACTCAAATATATCGATATTCGAGATTTATGTAAAGGATTTCGAAGGCTTAATAAACATTTCGATGCTCTTCTTCGATCATTGCATCATTTATCTGTGATCATTGAAAGCAACAAACTTTCAACTATCGTTCCATTCGCTCACCAAATCGTTCGATTAACTGTTGATACTAAAGTTGATATTGATTGGAGCTACTTTCCCAATCTACGCTCGCTGGTATTGAAACAAATCACTTGGTCCCAATCGAATCATCTTGCTCGAGAACCAAAAGCCCAATTTGATCTTTCTCTCACTTTTATCAGCATCAGCAGCTGAATCTTTCAGTTATCTTGCTTATCAAGTGTTCTCCAATTGGTTTTCTTCCCTTCGTCATGTTAATTTAGGTTCAATCCAATATCCATACGGCCGTTCGTGGTTTCAGTCATCGAATCTGCGTTCTGTACGTGTCATCTGTAGCGATCCGATCCTTCTTCTCTTAATTTCTGCTTCATGTCCTAATCTTATCCGATTCGAAGTAGAAATCTGCTCAAACATTTGTAAGATTGATCTTCCTTGTTCTTCAGATCATCGAGTTTACCATCCTTCTCTCAAACGAGTGGGTCTCTCGGACAATGCAAGCTATCTGTCATTGGACAATTTTGATTTTCCTTTTCGCTGTTGGTCAAATATCGAACGAATCGATCTTGTACTGTACGATGTGTCGTTTGTTCATCTAACTAACTTAATTGTAAATCGATTATCTCGTCTACGTCGATTTCATTGTCAGGTGTGCAAATCGTGGAAGAACAGCAGTCAAAACGTCGATATTGACACGATTGGACAAATGCATCCATGTTTCAGTCGAATTCAATATATAACAAGAAGAAATGGTGCTAGGATATACAAAGCAGACTATATTCATCACAAGCAGCCACGAATTGCCAGAAAACATTTGCTACATCTATCAGAGAGAACCGGTGTGTTCTCTTGTCGACTTTTTTCCTTTGAAGAAATGTGACTAGCCTCGCAATTGAAAGTAAGGTCATCATAGTCAAGTCAAAAGTTTTTGATTTTTATTTAATAGAGCCTCTGTGAAATGACCATCTTACTTTAGTATGGTCGGTCGGAGAAAAGGCTTTTTCGTCTAATATATAATATATGAAACTCCATGAAAGAGGATCAAAACTGCATCTTCTAAACGCTGAGCTCAACGGAGATATCATTGTTAATATTTTTAGTCTCGATGACAAAACTGCAATAATTTAATCTTCCAGATATTTTCCCACTATTGGAGTCGTTTCTGAACCGTTTTTGGTGCGGAACCAACTAATCATCTAAAATATCCTTGATTTGGGTGTGGGTGTGAAATGAATTAAAAACATGACCCACACTGCAATTACAAAGTTTCATCTAATTTAAAGTAAGTACCTCTAAAATATTAAAAATCTAATTCAGAACTTTGAAAATTTTTTCTCATACGATTGGTATATTTTATAGATATTGCATTCTAGAACTTAAAGTAGAATTAATATGAAAAATTGAGCTCGAGATTTTTATAGAAATTTTTTTTTAAATATTGTCTATGCAAATAGTTTTATATATTTCTAGTCTATGTCTTGTTTAATTATCAAGATCATAACAGTATGAGAAACAAGTTGATGATGATCGTTACGTATTTTTCCACAATGAAAAGATAGAGAATTCCTTCTATTAAGACCATCGTTCCTCGAAAAAATGACATGATTATTTATTCGGTGGCCCTTTTTTTTGTCAAAATTTTCGATGATGTCTGTGATCATCGTCTTGATAAACATGCTAATTCTAGAAAAAGCAAGAAATATTTTTTTTTTTTTTCTGTTTTTGATCGTCCAACTGAGAATTCAGTATGGATCCTTAATTCTATATATGTAATATTTTTTTCGTTTGAAAGAACATATCAAGATGCGGGTATGACAGAGTTCGTTTTCTACTATTATTTAAAAGAGCACTTTTATAATTAAATTGCCCTTTTTTTGAGAGTTTGTCGGAACATTGAGTTTCTCATCCCATTTCTCCACTCAAAAAGTAAGAATTGAAGAAAAAAAGGTCTTTGTCATGTCCTGTATAGTGGCATACTCTTTCAAATAAAAACAAACAAATTACATATAAAATGAGGATTAACAGTAGCTCTGATTGAATTCGAAATTTTGCACGCAGACTCGATCCATAGTTATAAGATCGTTGATAATTTTTTCTCATCTGTTTTGATAATCGCTTCGAAAATATGAGATACTTTTTTTCGCCTATTTAGACTCAACAAGTAATACATCTTTGACATTTTTCAGAGCATCTTGAGGATGATTGTATAAGAATTTAGACATAATTGATTATTACTATTAGAGTAGCTATTGTCAAGTCTCAGAAGACGAGCTCTTATCAAAAGAGAATTTTAGGTTTCCAAATGAGTTCTTTTTGGGTCTTACCTGATGAATATCTCTCTGAAACATCGCAGTATAGAGCTATAAATTTTACTATAAACTCTTTATCACAATTTCAATATATTCTCAGCATTTCAAGCAACACGAGTACACTTAATGCGAAACCAGTTTTTAAGCAGAAAGTTATCTTTTAAACTATTATGATTTGACATAAAATCAGTAAAAATAATCCAGATAAATATCTTTATTTATTTTGTCTTCAGAACAAAATTGTATTGATAGAGTCTCTTTTGGTCTATCATCATTCTTATTTTGTTTGTTTGCTAGATTGCAATATTTTTATATATTTACTTTTTCTTATAATTGATGAACAATATTTCCTTATAGAATATTTATCAAAATGGAAATAACTAATCAATGTTCTATACGTCAAAAAGGAACAGGATGTTCTTTTTGTACGAAAGACTTAAAAAATATCAACAACAACTATCCAATGAATTGGATATTATGATTGAAAGTCGTAATGCACTTCAACAAAAATTAAATAGAACTATTCAACAAAACCATTCTTCCAGTCCTATTTTATCATATTCGAAATTTTTTCCTTGAAAATCAAATATCTGTAAGTGAAAATAGCATCATCTTTTTTTTCTTTTACAGACAGTATATTTCATTTTTGTTTACCATATATGAAAATGTAAGAAACATTAAAGATACCTCGTCTGTTATCAGTTTTTAAATACATATCTAAATCTATCAAACATTTGATTGGATATATTTTTTTGAACTTTGCATTACTCTAATTATGTCGAAAGAGAGATCAGTAATATACATACTTGTAATTTTACAGAGAGAAATGTATTCCCAGTTGTTACATTAACATTTCAATCTAACTCAATTTTTTTTTCATTAAGTTGTTCTCAAGTTTCATTCGAAGATTTCTTCAAATGATGGTAACAAATAAGATATATCTTTTCAATGAATGAATAATCGAGATTTTTAGTCTTTTACACGTTTTTCTACTAATGAGGTACAATATTCTTAACTTTTATTCAGAATAAATTTTTATCTTGAGATATTATTATATCTGTTTATACTCTAGCGATCACTGGAACATTATTTTACGAATAAAAAAAATCGATTCTCTGATTTTTAAGCAATTTAGATGTTTGAGAAATTTTCATTCGAATAAATTATTTGTATAATTTACTAGTGCAATCTATATCTCTTCTTTCATATCTCTGAGTTATATGAACACGATTTCAAGTTTTTTCAATTTATTTGGAATAGCATTGAGAATATAAATTTCATTATTAAATTTTATGTTGAGAAGTAACATCCAACACATACCTTGACGTCACCCATAGATTACAGCAGTTCGCTGAAAAATAAAGTAATCTGTTTGATGCTCTGTTTTGAATAAAATATGTTTGCTGTACAAAGAAATGTACTCACAAATCAAAATTCTATCAGAATTTTTGTTTTTTTTATCATAGTGTGGCTAGAGCTCGTCGAATTATACTATAAGAA